TCAAGGAACTTTGAATAATTCCTGTTTCCCTCCCCCTTCATCATGACTAAGTTAATATATTTTTTGTCCATGTGGCTTCTTTCCACATGGAAAAAATAATGTTTTCCTCTCTCAGACTTCCTTTGGTGTTAATTTTCATTTGAATAGTTTTCATTAAATAATAATTTTTAATAATAATTTTAATAAACTATTAAACTATTACATACTTTAAGCTATTAAATATTTAAGTCATTGAAGAAGTTATCTGCTTTTGGATAAACTACTTTTACTTAACACAGTAAGAAGATTCTGAGTGAAGAACAAAGAATGGTGTTTAAGTTAGATGCCTTTATTTTACTTATGTTTTATAATGTAATAAAAACCTTTAAGTGACATAGCTCTTATGCTTTGCTTATTAACTTTTATTTGGCAATTATTTCAGACTTATAGAAAAGTTGCAAAAATACAATGATTTTTCTAAATTTCCTTCATTAGCATCAACTTTATTTTCTGTTTTTGTATATTTATATAGCTAAGATGAATAGCCATATTTAATTACCTTATCTGAAACATTTCAGACTAATTATAGGCCTTGTGCCCATTTATTCCTAAGTATGTCTTTATTTCCTAAAAACAGGAAAACATTTTTCATAACAATAGTGTCTTCTACTCGATCAAAATTGTAAATCTCAAGAATGTTTATGATAGCATGAGAAAACAAAATAGCTCTAAATTATATATTATGTTTGTTACATTCTCGCTCTCACTCCACCCCTTTCTTCTCTTTTTCTCTTTCTCCGAGACAGGGTTTCACTGTTTAGCTTCACTGTCTTAAAGTCTCAATTCTCCAACTCCACTTCCTTGTGCTGATACCACAAGTGTGATACCCTTTAAAGAACAAAAGATATACCGTGCTTCTTACTGTTTCTAATCTGCGACAATTCCATAGTCTCTTCGGGTTAGTTATGATCTTAACATGTCTCAAAGTACAAGCCACTGTTTTGCATACTGTCCCTCATTTGAGGTTTGTCTGTTATTCCATGGCTCATTGTTGCAGGAGAATTGTCCCACGGTGATGTTTCTTCTGTGGTGATGCTTCTGTGAGTGGCGCCAAGTGGCACTCAGATGCCTGCTTACACTGCTTACTGGTGATGTGGTGTCTCTTGGATTTCTCTACTCACAGTTACTGTTTTTCTCTTCATCATTAATAAAAGATCTTTCAAGATTCTGTAAATATCTCCTCGTATTTCATGAGTTTTATCATACTTCCTAACTTGTATTCAATAAGATGTCAGACAGTCTCAGAATTTATTGTAATTTTTAGAATCATGAGGCAGAATCAGTGATTTTTCTTAGTTACAACACACTGCCAAAAGATTTAGTTTTTCTATGTTTGTAACAGTACTGTTGAGCTGAAAACATATGGAAATTAATCAAGAGCTGGGCGCCCATGGCTCATGCCTGTAATCCACCTACTCTGGAGGCTGAGATCTGATCTGATGATCATTATTTGAAGCCAGCCTAGGCAGGAAAGTCTGTGAGAATTATCTCCAAATAACTACCAGAAAACTGAAAATGGTACCCTGGCTCAAAGTGGTAAGGCCCTAGCTTAGAGCCAAAAAGCTCAGGGACAGCATTCAGGCCCTGAGTTTTAGTCCCTCCCACCCCCCACTAGAGAGAGAGAGAGAAAGAGAGAGAGAGAGAGAGACAGACAGACAGACAGACAGAGACAGAGAGAGAAAGAGAAATTAATAAAAACCTAATTTTTCTCACTTTTGTTTTATAGGCATTATTTTTGGGGGTGATAAATTTGGTAACAACAGTTAAGTAAGAGGGAGTGGCAGGGAGATCCTGACACTAATAAAAGTGACATCTTGATGATGACCAAGACAAAATTAAATTATGTTCTCTTTTTATTTATTCATTAAGATAGATATGTTAGTTAGCTTGGCCTCAAACTCTTAGGTTCAGACAGTCTTCCTGTCTCAGCCTCCTGTGTAGTTGGGACTATAGACATGTTGCCACTGGGCCCAGCTCAGACATGATTAAATGTAAGTAGCAAATAGAGCCATAAAAGACTAGTGTTTTGTGACGATCTGCTTTAGGTGTATAGAACTATATGTATTCATTTTAGTCACTCAATATGATTGTATCCCATAATCGTCATTGGATTATTGTAGCTTTATGGTGAGTTAGAGAAATTTCCAACTGAATATATTCATCAAGGTAGAGCATACTACAAGGTCTGTTAGTAGATGATAAATCAGTTTATGTTAGCAAAGATTTTTTTAACATTCATTTAGGTGAAGATTAAAAAATTAACAATACACTTGATCAACTATTAATAGATCCTGCTGTGTGGTTCTACCTTGATGAATATAGTTCTACTAGAAATTTGTCTTTGAACATTGGAAAGTCCTAACTTGGTAGGCCTTACACCTTTTTGTATGTGTGATTTCTTCCCTCTCCTTCACTCCCCTGCCTCCTCTGCCCTCTCTTCTATTGAGGGAAGTGGTTAGGATTTATTCTTGCTGAGTAAAAGTGGATTTATTTACTCAGATAATATTTTTATAATGCAACATAAAAGATTATCCATTGTTTTTCCATGCTGAATGGCTTTAACTGAAATTTAGAACTTTTTAAGCAATAGATCAAGTTATAAGAACATATATACGGGCTGGGAAGGTGGCTCAGTGGTAGAGTGTTTGCCTTGCATGCATTAGGCCCGGGGTTCAATTCCTCAGCACCACATAAGCAGAAAATGCCAGAAAGTGGCACTGTGGCTTAAGTGGTATAGTGCTAGTCTTGAGCTGAAGAGCTGAGGGACAGTGCCCAGGCCCAGAGTTCAAGCCCCATGACCGCCCCCCCGCAAAAGAACATATATCCCTATTCATATGTATATATGTGAAAGGTTTTATACATATATGTACATATATGTATACTGTGTGTTAGTGTGGAAAGTCAGTTACTTTCATAAAAAACTCAAACATATTAAACTATTTTGTGACTTGACCATATAGACCTAAAACATATTTTTAAAAGAAATTTTGTAATAATTATACCTTTAAATACTTGTTATTTTTTCAATTTTGAGTTAATTGTTCATGTTTTCATTATACATTCTATTGTGCATTCCATTTGGAACAAAGTGGGTTTACTTTTGGATCCATTCAAAGAGGATCTAACAAACTTATTTTTGTGTACACTATTATAGGGATGTTTTCTAAGTAAAAAGCACTGTTTTGTAATATATTTGAATCATTAAGCTTTCATAGTGGTTTGTTTTTAAAGGAGAATAGCACAATTATACTACCCATTTTATTTCCTTGATTGTTTTTCATACACATTTTCTTATGAGGAAAGCCAGGAAGGAAACAACATCTCCAAACTGATAGAAATTCCAGCTCCCTCAACTACTTACTATAGGTGTGTTTGACTTGCTGCCTATTGATTCATTGATTCATTCATGATGTATTTACTTTCCTCCTCTATAGTACTTTTCTGGACACCTGGTCATAGACAGAGGAAATCATTAACTTAATTCTTAATTTTTTTCCCTCCAGCATGGATGTATATAGAGTATTATTATAAGGCACTGAGCACACAGTAGGCTTACTTGTTGCAAAGTTAAGAGTTTTCAGATGGCTTTTCACATGAAACCTATTTCTAGAAAAATAGAGGAGCTTTGTGTTTGTTTCTTATTATACTTACCATATAATTTTTCTTTCTCACAAGATCCTGTTACTTAAAAATATATTTATATCTAGTAAGATCCTTTTATTTAGTGTCCATTTATTTTGCAAAGTGTAGATGCTTATTTTAGCAATGATTTGTCATTAAAATTATGTCAAAATGTCTTAAAATGTTGTTGAAACTGTAAACAAACTCATAACACACACAAAGCTAATTATGGATGCCATCTGTTTATTTTTACCAGGATTGTTTTTAGACACTACGGCATTGTCTGCTTATGATAAGCTTCAAGATGATTATAATGACCAAGTCCTGTCCTTCAATTAGTGTGATTGAAGATGGGAAGATAATTTGTTTGTTCGCTGACCTTTTCCTGTGTCCATGTATGAAATGTGACATCTCATGAAAAAAAAAACCTACTGTGCCATACATCTTGAAACGTATTTACTTTTTAAAAGGAAGAAATTATTATCAACATACTAGATATTCCAGAGTTTTTTTTTTAATTTGTTCAAAGTTTAGATGAAAGGCAGATCACTTGTTCTTTTTCAACGCTATATACATGGCTTTATTTTCACTCAGGTTTAAGAATTCGTAAGTGATTAGTCGGGTTATAAGGACATATATCCCTGTTGGTGTGCCTGTATGTCAGTGAGTAGTTTGCACATGTGTGTCCCTTGTGTTAGCATGGAAGGCCAGGTACTTCCTTTACAACATCAGCCAAATAGTTATCAGCAATTTGCTGAGAGAGCAGAGTGATTTCCCTAGCTCTGTTTTGCTATTGTGCATGCTAAGCACTGCTCAAGTCAGTCTGGAGGGAAAGCAACCTGAAGGCTCCATCTGCTGCTTTCTGCTATGCTGCATTGATGCAAGATTACGCTAATCTGGCTGCTTGTCAGGACAGGTTAGTGAAAGCATGCAAGTGGGTGAGATTCAGTGTAGAGTAGTGCTTTGGAAAATCAGAGGCTGCCCTTGTAGATGCCATGTGAAGTGTAGCAGAATAGGTTGATTAGCAGCTACATTAAGAAGTAAGTGTTTCAGTTGAGACTTAGTTTCAAAGTAATATTATTAAGCTTTGTTGGATCACAAGTAAATTAAAATGGGGGAAAGGAACAGATAACAAAAAATGCTTTTTAGGCATTAATTTTTCTTACCATCATTTGTGTACCATGTTGTATTTATTTTTTGTTTTCCTGTTTTTAGTCAAATATTCCTAATTAAAATACACCTAACCTCCTTTTGCCTAGAAACGTCTGCATTTTTCTTATTTATGTGTATTTCATTTACCTTCTTCTTTACTTACTGACTGGCAGATCTTGGCCTTGCAGGTTGAGCATCCTGTCACAGAATGCATTACTGGCCTGGACATAGTCCAAGAAATGATCCGTGTTGCTAAGGGTTACCCTCTCAGGCACAAACAAGCTGATATTCCCATCAACGGCTGGGCAATTGAATGTCGGGTTTATGCTGAGGTAAAGTGTGGGGTGTTAGGAGGAGGAGGGTTGTGTCCAAAGTCAGGAGAGTAAATAGCTAAAAACAAGTAAAGTTAGGTTTGGTGACTTGTAATTAAACTAGAGGAAAATTACATAAGTTTTACTTTGTTCAAATTATTTTTAAAGAATTGAGTTCGATTATTTTTGGCTGGTGAAGCAGCTTCCAAAATGTTAAAAGGGAACAACGTATTAGTTAAATATTTTTGACCTTGAATTGACCTTAGTGTTTGTTTTCTTCACTTCATGTTCATTTTCAAACCGTGTTAACAAGGAAGTACTGTCATTTATTTCTGTGGGCTTTTTTCTCTTAAGAGCTTACCCTGGGCATATATGAGTTGTTGATTTGATGCCAATTTTTTTTTCTAACAGTTTGTTTTCTAAGTTTGTCCTTTATGATTAGTTGGAAGTAACTATTGAAATGTAAATTGTAGAACTGTTGGCAAAAGTTGTATTCTTAATTTATAATTTTAATTATGGGTCTTACTTATCAAGTATTACTTCAATACTTTTACAACTTACACAAGTCAAATGACAAAGCACTCAGCATCTGAAAATGGCTTTTTCAAATGATTAAAACAAGAATACAAAGTAATTTGTATCTTCTTTTAATTTTTTTTTGACATCAACATTTTGGTAATCTAAAAAAAAAAAAAAAGCACTATCTGTGTGTAAGAGTACCAAAATTGCTTTGAGATCTTTTGCAAGTAGCTTGAAGCATATTTTGTCATGGTTGTTACTACTCTTGCTCTTAATGTTAAGTTGTGTGTCTTTCATAAGACACTGAACTTATTATTTATTCTCATGTCCTCTGTTATTTACAAATAGAATACATATCTAGAAGCATGTGCAGATTTTTTTTCAGGTTATTTGAAGAACACAGATTCTCAAGTTTGAACATATGTGAGCTGTTTTGAGAAGTAAGAAAAACAAATATCTTTAGTGCACCACATTTGTTGCTTTGAACCTGAGTATGTTTTGATGTAAAGCCTAGGTTATTTTATTTTTGCCCAAGGCATTCTAAATTTTCTAAAAAGTTGGCATTTGACCAATTTCAATAAAGTATGATCGAGGTTAGGCTAAATACTGCTTGCAATTCTATTTGGTTTTTAAGCATGCTTCTAAGTTGTCTAAGGATAAGACTATGTAATATTCTGAAATCTTGTGATTTCATGAATGCTGTATGTTAAAAATAGAGCTATAAGTGCTTCTTCAAAGACTGTACTTCCTTTCCTTTGAACTTTCAGGACCCCTACAAGTCTTTTGGTTTACCATCTATTGGGAGATTGTCTCAGTATGAAGAACCAATACATCTACCTGGTGTAAGTCATTAAGTTGTAATACTAACTGAAGTAAAAATCTTGATTTATGCCATACTTTTATGTTAAAGCATGTCAACACCAAAGGGTGTAAATTGAAAGATAAGTGAAATTTATGGGCAATCAGTTTTTGTGTTAAATTTGTTTTGAGCTTTATGATCAATCAAGTCAGAGATAAGATATAAGTGATAGTTTATAGTAGTCTCCATTCTTTTGAAAAGTATAATGAAAAGATTATGGAATCTTAAGAATGGAAATGAATTTAAATCTAAATTAATACAACTCCCCTAGTACAGTGAGATGTCAAATTTGAACACAAAATGATCGCATTAATTGAACTGGATTAAAGAAAACAAACTGTGGCTCATTCTTTGTCATTGATGTGAAGATATACATATTATTTATGTCAGTTAAGAAAAAGCGATAACTATCTTTTTCCATAGTTGTTTTATGTTTACTAACAATTCTTTTAAAGTGGTTTGTGTAAAAGAACATGAACATATTTTTTCTCTTTATCAAGTTAATAAGTGCATATGAATATGACATTATACTAGCTAGAAGATGACAAGACTGTACCATCTGTGACTATGATTATTCAGTTTGATTACTGGTAAGAAGATGGTGAAAGATTACAGGAAGAATTCTAAATTTGGAGATGTTATTGGATATGTGATTTATTTCACTTTTTAAATTGTTTTTGTCCATGTGCTTTCTAAAGGGATCTGACCCTTTCTAGGCTTGGAGACTCCATGCTGTGTTCAAAGCCTGAGGCAGGAAAAAAAATTGTAAAGATTTAACAGGCATTATGTGACATTAAATAGCAGATGAGAAAACAAGTATCATAGGGACATATCTAAACACTTTTTTAATCAAACAAAAAAGTATTAAATAAGAATTCATAATGATTACTCCAGTTGTTAGAAGTTTTCACCATGTTGTAATAGCTAACAGAATGTCAAACATTTTGCCCTCGCAAGTTTTTGCAATTTGCAATTTTCAAACGTGAGACCTGTTGAAAGTACAAGTGATAATGGACAAACTATACCCCCTACAGTCTTTGTCCCACCAAATCTTTCTTCAATTAATGCTGCAGCAGGAGTTTTATGTAATAACATTTGCAGTTGTGAGCCATCCATAGAAAGAAAAAACAATTAAAATGCCTTAAATGTTCTGCTTACTGCTGTTATTTGCTTGTGTGAACGTTGCATGTCAGCTAAATGGACCAAGGAATAGATAAAGTGATTGGGGGCAGGAGAGTGCGCACTAAGCTTTGTCTATCATTATTGCTGGGAGCAATCAAATTGATGTCAGCAGGACAGTAGATGCGTTGACAGCTGTAATTATGTATCTCCATGGTGATCACTTTTGGCCTGTCATGGAGGCCCACGAGTCCCCTCCCTTGGAAGCATTTAATCAGATTGGGCTGTCACTTGTCAGGTAGACGTGGCGGGCTGGGAGTTGTGCTTAGGGGGAGAGGTGAATTGCGAATGAAGGGTGGGAGACGTCTGATAATTTCCAAGGTCCACTGTGCTACTGAAGAAAAAAATTTAATTATGCTGGAGATTTCTGAATAGTGGTTTGAGAAGCACATAGAAGCTCATTTGTTTTCCCTTATTGCTTTACAAACTAGACTAGTCTGTTTAACTTGGGAAAACATTTCTTCTAGCTCTTACCTTTTTTGGTCACAAGAAGCTCATATGTGAGAGTTAACTTATTTATGGCTTGTGCCTTTCACATATGCATCTTTAAGCTTGAGATTTATCTATATGACAAAGATGAAGATTTTTCTTTATATCTTTGGGCATCATACTTTGTAAATTTATTTTCAGACCACAATTTTGTTTTTCTTAGAGCTTTGATTCCAATTTCATTTAACATTATTCTTAAAGTGACTAATGCCAAATTATATAGCTTTGTTTCCATTAAGGAATGAACACTTGATTTGACTTTCAATTGGTTTCTAGAAATTAAAAAATAGCTGATTATTATTTGGAAAAACCTACATAAACAGTAAAATATAAATTGGGATTTTCAAGCTTTGTTACAAGTTTAAATTAGATATGTTGATTTACTTGCATTTGTTGATTATATATGATAAATTTCAATTTTATCTGGTATGGTTTTCAAATTAAAATGCCTTACTTCCTGTGTTCATAATTTTGGTAAGTAGCAATGGCTTTTAGGTGATTTTGTTCAAGATAATTACAAAATTTAAGTAAGGAACTACAGAAGAATATGACATATTCCTTATTGTCTATGTTATTTTACCAGTGGGTTGAACTTCGAAGTTTCTCACGAATTTTTTTTTAACAGTTTATAAAGCAAATGAATGGGATATGTTTAAAGTGAAAAGTTTTAGAATTTGTACAGGTTTCAGTTTTGAATACATCTTTAGCAAGCATGCTATGATTTTAAAGATTATGCTGTAGTTGGATGAGTTATTTAACATTTTGATACTAAAATAAAAAAAATAAAAAAATAAAGTGCACAGTATTTTTTCTATTATGTGACCAGAATGGCCAGTGGCCATTTTGGAACTATTTAAATATTGAGAGAAGATACATTGTAATTTTATTGCTTTCTTTCCAAGCTGCCCTATTAATTTTTTTCTAGATTTAGTCAACATTGACTTCATAGAATTTAGTTTTTGTTATGAAATATGTTTTTAGGAAATAAGAAGGCCAAGTATATTTTTATGAAAGCTGAGTGGTATTCATTTAAAATTAACACTTTTATATATGAATGTGAATAGAAATATCTGTAGTTTTGTTTGAGTATGCAATCACGGAAATAAAAACCCTCTGGATGTGTTATAATGTTGTCTTTTAAACCCTTACAGAGAGATTAATAGTGGTGTGATTTTTTTTTAAAAGAGGATGAAGCTACTATGCCTTATCTTTTGATGTCACTATGTAATAAAGCCATCAGCACACCCTCTCGTGGATGTCCTAGACAAGAGGTTCTACATGTGGTCCCTTGATAATTGCCTAAATTAAAATATTAAAGGCCTAACAGCCGCTGTGTTGACCTTTTTCTGCCTTGCTGCAGACAGATGAGCTGTTGTTTATTAGGAAGGCTTCTTCCCACAGGTGATGAGTTGCACGCGCTTCCACTCTTCTCTCCATACCCCTTCACAATGTTGGGCACCAAAGTCCTGCTGTTCTAGCAGCTTCAGTTAAATTCCTCTATTCTCAAGATCCCTAGGATATGACTGACAGCCTTACATATTTTGATTAGCTTTCAAATACTTCAGATTCCAAAACTTGGGCCAAATAATTTAATAAGTGCTCCGTCTTCAGCATCTGCTCATTTTAAAAGTTTTACATGGCTAACCTTCGTGCTTCACTGCTGATACCAAAACAAGAATGGGTGATATACTAACTAACTTGTTGGCTGGTTAATAGCAATCAAACTCTTCAAAAGGATACTTTGAACTTGGGCTATTTTTTCCATATGAAAAAAATCACAAAATCAGAACCATAATTGGAGCTATGTCCTTACAAAGCAAAGCTATGGGAAAAGCTGTGTAAACATGAAAGCCTCAGGAGACTAATGCTAACAGAAAAAATAGTGTTTTTCAGTCCAGAGGGTGAGGCAGAAACGAAAGTGTTGCAGACATGAAAGGCCTGGCGGGTTCCTAAGGCTCTAATGGACAAGCCTGGCTGGGGCTGCCCTGGTGCTCACAGGAGGGTCCAGTGGAGAGAGCCACAAGAAGGGGCCTGGTCCGTGCCACGCTCCAGCTGGAAGACACCAGAAGGAGCTGCAGGTGCCCTTCAGCCTGGGGACCTAGGAAGTTTTTCTTGTTTCTTTGAGTTTCTGAGTTTCCTTGGTTTGTGGGAAAACAAAAAGTATATGTTACAGTGCATACAAACAGATCCAACACCATCCTAGTTCTCTGTACTTTTAAGCTGTTTTTTGTTTTCCAGAAGCTGTCCATTTTCTCCATAGGAATTAAATTTCTGGTTAAAATTAATCTGCCCATATGAAGTTACTTTGTGTTTTCTTTTCTCAGGTCCGGGTTGACAGTGGCATCCAACCAGGAAGTGAAATCAGCATTTATTATGATCCTATGATTTCAAAAGTTAGTCCTGTTTCTTAACAATTTCTTCTAGCCTTCTTTTGATCACTTGAGCCTATATCTGAGTCATGTGCTATAAGTAAACAAGTATTATGTACTGATGTAAAAGTGAAAGCGGAACTTATTTTTTCTTGCAATGCTGTCTTCTCCTAAATCAAGTCATATAACTACCACCACCACTGCATGTGCTCACATGTGTGTGCATGTACATGCACACAACACACATGTACACACTACATAATCAGTGGGACTAATCAAGCTCTCTGCAATGAAAAGGAGTTAATTATATCATTCCTGAGATTTACCTGTGAGTAGCAGGTAATATCAAGAAGTTGGCTTGTCACTATTAGAGTATTTTCAGTCTTTGCAAATCACTGCTTAAGGAAATTTGACATAATTAAGTTTTTTTTTTTTTTTTTGTTATTTTCTTTTTTGTGGAGCTAGTGGTGGAACCCAGGACTTAGTGCATGCCAGATAAGCAGTCTACCACTGAACTATGTCCACAACCCAATTGAGGTTTATATATTAGCAGAAGATGTGATTTTTGACTACTTACATTTTCTAATTTTAACTTTATGGATTAAAAAAATTTACTTAAAACTTTCAATCTTTCAATTTTAAGACTTAATAAAATATGAAAAACTGCAGTAGTTAGAATTGTGTTTTGTTTGAAAATTCTGTGTTTTCTTAAAGGTGATGTTAAAGCTCTGTTGAGAAAGGATTTCTTTATTAAGCTCTATTTCTCAAGATTCTTTTCCCCAAGGGTGTTTTCCATTTTGTTTTATTTTGTTTTGTTTTAGTATGGGGGATCAAACCCAGGGCCTCATGCATGCTAGGCAAGTGATCTACTACACTCCCAGGTTCAAAGTGTAGTTTTAGGTAGTTGTAGGAACAAACTATTTTTTGTGGGTTTTTTTTTTGACTTATGTTTTTAGCTAATATTGTTAAAATGAATCTTAAGTATTTTATTTAGAGAAGCATTACATTTAAAAGATATATAAGGGCTGGGAAGGTGGTAGAGTGCTTGCCTCACATGCATGAAGCTCTGAGTTCGATTCCTCAGCACCACATAAGCAGAAAAAGCCAGAAGTGGCTCAAGTGGTACAGCATTAGTCTTGAGCTGAAGAGCTGAGGGACAGTGCCCAGGCCCAGAGTTCAGGCCCCACAATGAAAAACAAAACAAAACAAACAAAAAAAAAGGAAAAAAGTATATAAAATATCAAGTTAACTTTTAAACTAGCTATAATTCTGTTTTTAGAGGAATTATTTTTCTATTCAAAAAAATGCTCTACTAATTCAAACTGTCCTAATACTGAAGAGCTTATAAAATTTACAAAAGTAATTACATCTATAGATGAACTAACAACCACAGAAAGTCAAAGGCTTGTTTGTTATCTTATATATGCTATAGATAAATAGATATTAGATCATATAAAACAGATAGGCCTACTTTTCTAATATATATGGAGCTGAGTAATTATTAAGATACTTTAGTTTTTATCTTTCATTTTCATATTTAAAGGTTTATCTACTTTTATTTGTAAAAGTATTAGCTGTTGTGGATTTCAAACTTAGAACCCTAGAAAAACAGAAAAAATTTAAAGGGCTGTCTAATCCTACCACTATTTCAGATGTATACATTCAATTCCAAGTTGACACATTTTCTTATATATCCCTTTAAATTTTTTTCTATGCCTATTTCTATTCAGTTCTTTTTTCATGTAACTGTATTATGACAATGAAAATGAAAACACAGATGGCTTGATTGTCTTTTCTCAAAAAATCTTATTGACATATTTAAACTAAACCACTGTGAAATATTAAAAGATATGTCAGGAACCTTGTTGTGAAATATTTTAATTTTTATGAGATTGAATCATTGAACATATAGATGGCTACTAAGACTGGTTTTTATTTGTTTTCAGCTAGTTACATATGGCTCTGATAGAACAGAAGCATTAAAGAGAATGGAAGATGCACTGGATAATTATGTAATTCGAGGTAACAATCTAAGTATTTGATGTCTCATCATTGTATATGATATCTAGTTCTAGAAAACAGCTTAAAGTTTTAGTAGAGAATTCCATGAAAGAGTTTCTTTCTTTTAAAAGGGTTTCTTACTCTATTTAAAGAGAAGTCATAAAATCTGTAATTAGTTAGACTCAGATACTAAGTATACACCTTATATATTTTAAATTTCTTAATTCAACGTATAATTTATAACATACTTATATGAATATATACTACTTTGTAGTTATATATTGTATGAAAAATGAGAGACTTTAGAATTAAGAACTATTGGCCAGTTAGGTTTGATAGCATTTTCTTTTTAGTATTATTATCTATGAATTTTCTCTCTGTGTGTGTGTGTGTGTGTGTGTGTGTGTGTGTGTGTGTGTGTGTGTGTTTGTGCGTGTGCACGTGCGCGCGCGCGCATGGTGTGTGGCCATTACTGAGACTTGATTTTAGAGCCTCATGCTTTAATTTGGCTTTCCGCTCACTGCCAGTGCTCTACCACTTGAGTCACACTTCTGGTTTCTTGTTCATTTATTTTTGAAGTCAGAAACTTGAAAATGTAATAAGATATGGAGCATAGTGACCTACATTTGACTAATTTTGAAGTAGGAAGAATAAATCTTTGCTTTTCCTGATGAAACTGTAGGCTATTTTCTAGGAAATAAAATTTTCTTTCCTCATGCACTTACCTGATAGTTTTGAGTCCTAACAAAGTATGATTCTACAGGCCATTAGCATGTGTAAGGCTAATTGAATTGTGTGGAGTCCTTACATTCAAATAATGAGAGCAAAATTGCATTAGTAATGAAAGGATTAATTTAGCCTAACATAAACCATCATCAACTTCAGATTAGTGAACTTTAATATCAAATTTTAATTTAAAATTTAAGTTCACCTTGAATTTTGAAAGGATAGTTAGAGTCTAAGAATACTCTGTAGCAGAGATTGGGTAGTCTGTAGTTCTGCTTTCTTTCTCATGTCACACTGAGATCACAGTGGGACTGGAAGGGGCTAAGGGTTGCTGAAGTGCTGAGTGTGGTTGCACAGCTTCCTTTCCTTCAAGTGGACATTGCTTTCAGGTCGTGAGGGTAGTTAAGTAGTATGAAACAGGCAGAATGCTCAGCTTAGCGATGGAACATGCAGTCTTTACTTTCCCCCTTAACCAAGTGTCTTTGTGCAGTGAAAAGTTGGTACAACTTACAGTAGCTACCAGTCACTACAGAGAACAGTTTAGTGACTCACTTTGCCCCAGTAAGCATCTGAAAAGCCCTATTTTTCATATTACAGAATATTCTTTGATATAAAATCTTATTGATTTATTTTTTCATTTACTGTACTTTATATCTAGTTCTCTAGTTGCTATTTTCTTAAGTGAGTTAAATACCAAGAAGGGTGCCCTTAATCTGCTAACTTTGTAAGTATCACTTGTAAAAATATACTTCATTATATAGACTTTGTTCTGTTTTCTTGGCTTAGTCTGCAGTTTCTGCTTTTGACTTCTCATATAGTAGATGGAAGCCAGACAGACCTGGCTTCACACCCTGCCACCAAGCCATTTAAACACTTAGTCATATTAGTTTACTTCTGTGTGTGTCGTACTCTATATTGAAAAGTGTGTAACAATCTCTTCTTTCTAAATTAGTAGTTTGAACTAAATGAAGTTAAGTATATAAAAGGCTTGTTATTATACTGATTCATGTTATCCCAGTAACACTAGTTCCTATTTTTTCCCCTTTTCTCAGCACAATTATAAAACCACATACTTAAGGTCACATATTTAAAAATGTTGTTAGCCAGATAACAGTCCACCATACTTGTAACCATAGCTACTAATCCTAGCTCCAAGATATGAAAACAAAGATACCTCTCTTTTTTTCCTTTTAATTTTTTATATTTTTATTTTTTGATGATTCTGTCTTCTTTTCCTTATGTACAGTATATTCAAGTATCTATCTTCAGGAGGGCTGGGGAGAGGGTACAGAACTTGAGGGGGAAAGGATGAAAAAGTGCAGCAGTGGCGCTCGATGGACACTGATGAATGTGCACTCTACAACTCATGGGTGGAGAAGGAAGGGGGAGGGACTGTGAGAGAGTGAGGGAACAGAAAACACTGTGCAAAGGGAAATGTACTCATTACCTGACTCACGTAATTGCAATCCCTCTGTACATCCCGTCTGTAATAACAATAAAGTAAATTAGTTTAAAAAGTAAGAACAATTTCCAGAGCAATGTTTAGTGTATTCTAATTTTAGCTAAACTATTCTCCTATCCTAAAATATTGTGTTGTGTTTGGATGAACACAGAGTAGGGTAGGTATGTGTACATTTCAGATTGATACTTTAAAAAAAAACTTTTATTGTACAGGTGATGTACAGAAGGGTTACAGTTGTATACATAAGGTACTGAGTACAGGCTCACGCCTGTAATCCTAGCTACTCAGGAGGCTGAGATCTGAGGAACCCGGTTCAAAGCCAGCCCGGGTAGGAGAGACCATGAGACTCTTATCTCCAAGAAACCACCAGAAAACCGGAGGTGGTGCTGTAGCTCAAGTGGTAGAGTGCTCGCTTTGAGCTGAAGAGCTGAGGGACAGCGCCCAGGCCCAGAGTTCAAGCCCCACGACCGACCAAAAAAAAAAAAAGAGTAGTTTTTCTTGATATACTTTTTTAGACTTATATATTTTTAAAATCTAGGGAACAGTTGAATGGTGTAATACACACTTTAGTACTCTTCACTTTGATTAATCAGTTATTAGACTTTATGTCATATTTTGTTTCTTCATTTCCCCCTATTTTATTTGGCTTTCTTTCTTTGATTTTGGAGAGCAGTACTGGGGTTTAAACTCAGGGTCTTGTGCTTGCTAGGCCGATGCCTCTATAACTTGACCCCTTTTTACTTTAGTTGTTCTAAAATAGAGTCTCGATTTTTGCCTCAGAAATCCTAGACATGATCTTCCTATTTATACTTCCTGCTGTAGCTGGGTGACAGATGCATGCCAGCACACTCAGGTTTTTCATGAACTTTTTGCGGAATTTATCAAATCATAATCCTGTCTGCTCTCAACCTGAGTGGATAAGTATGAGCTACTACTCCTGACTCTTTCCCTTTCTTTGCCTTTTTCTTTTCCTTTTCTTTCTCATTTTCTTCTTTGTTTTCTATTTTTTTTCCTGATTCATTTGAAAGAAACTTGCAAACATCATAACAGCATTCTAATACTTTACAATGTATCCTAAAAATAACAGCATGTTCCCACAAAGCCACAATACCCTTCTCAGTCCAAAGACAAATTTAACAACAATCTATTAGTATCATTTGATGGACTGTCATTATTGCAGTCTCTCCAGGTCCCTCAAAGTTAACAAAGTTATCTGTTGTTTGATCCCATCCATGTTACAAAGTGCAATAGCTTTTGTATATCTTCTAATCCTCTTGCCCCTCTTCTTACTTCACTTCACTGAAGTTTGAGAAGAATCTGGTTGGGAGTCACCTAACCCTTTCCTCTGGCTGTGTAATTTACAAGGTAGATTGAATGTGATTCTCAAAATGTTTTGGAATTCACATTTTCAAATGTGTGATGCCCAAATGGTAGAGTGTATGTAAGCATTTGAAAATCTGAGAAAACTCCAAATTTGAAACACTTCTGGTCCTAGGCATTTTAAATAATACTTAATTAGCAGTGGCCTACAGAACTTGAGAGAACTGCATTTTAATGTTACTCGTTTATTATAAAGGAGATAGTCTGGGAAAAGCCAAATGGAGGAGTATAGAGCTTCTGTGCCATCTAGGGCAGTACTACCTTACCAGCACCTCTGGTGTTCACCAGCATAGACACTCTCCAATTTCTGCCCTGTAGGGTTATAGAGGCTTTGTTACATAGGTGGGATTAAATCATTGGCCACTAGTAATTAAGTCCGTCTCTATTCCTAGGTGAGTTGGGTAGAAGTGGGGATGGGTGGATGGTGTGGCTACAAGTTCTACCTCACTCATTACATGGTTGGTGTCCCTGACCACCTGCTCCACTCCTCTTAGAGACACTCATTAGCATAAACTCAAGTATGGTTGAATAGAGCTTATTATGAAGAACAGATGATGCTCCCTCACCCCTGTCATTCAGGAAAATGCAAGGGTATTACGAGTCAGCATCAGAAACCTGGAACATATTTTATCCATCCATATATACATATATACATACATACACACATATACACATGTGTATATACTATATCTTATTTTATAACAATATCACAATCACTTCCAAGCTGAAAATATTGAAATCTTTCCCCACTGGCCTCACAATAGTCTACAAGGCCTCTGTATTCTGATTTATACTACTGTCTTTGATACATACCCCTTTTCCATCAATCTCTGTAGTTTTTGTTTCCTAGATGGTATCATTATCTCTCCTTTTGAGGATCTTCACACTTAGGCTTTAGCCTAAGAAGTTGTAAAAATATACAGTGACTGAAGAAAGATGAAGTTTATTTCCATCCGTGGGTGGCAGTATAGTGAGAACATTGTCGAGGGCTAGTCTGGTGGGGGGCTCATTCATCCACAGCAGGTGGTCTCACTTTGGAGCCTCAAATGATTGATTTTGTACTTATAAATTCCATCAAGAAGGTGGCCAAGGACTTCATGCTCATCTCTTTTCACGTCATAACCTAAAAGAGATATCTATATTTCTGTTTCCATAATGATGTTTAATTGTATGCCCATACCTACCTGCAAAGGAAGCTGTGAAATGTAATTGATATCAAAGCGGCATTTCTGCTACAAGCTAATGGAAAGCAATTCTTTTATTAAAGGACAGAGGAGAGAACAGATACTGGCGGTAAACTAGGAAAGATAGTATATGTGTCTGCTTATTTGTAGAAATCATGTACACAGGGCTGGGAAGGTGGCTCAGTGGTAAAGTGCTTGCCTTGCATGCATGAAACTCTGGGTTCCATTCCTTAGCACCATATAAACAGAAGAAGCTGGAAATGGTGCTGTAGCTC